CTGATCCTTTTTCTCTCACAACTAAAACACGATCATGAACAGATAAGAGCAAATCCGTACGTATACCAAGACAAGCCGCGGGTCCAGACGGCGCTACAGATGATGGTAGCGAGCACAGACCTGGAACAGAGATTGGACGAGGTACGTACGCATAACTGCGCTTCACTCTCCTCGACTTGGATTGCTTTCCCTGTATGCTGGAGTAGCAGATTGATGGAAACTGTTTGGAATTGATGGACTAGCGCTGGATTGCGAATTGATGGACTAGCGAGCTGACGCCGTGGTTTGGCTGCGTGTCTGTTTCACGCAGGTCACATTTCCATTCCTCGTCGTTCATGGGGAAGAAGACACAGTCACGGACCCCGCGTGTAGCGTGGAGCTACACAAGCGCGCGCGGAGCACTGACAAGACGCTCAATCTCTACCCGGAGATGTGGCATGGCCTCACCGTGGGTGAATCCGACGAGAACATCGAGCGCGTCTTCGCGGACATCGTGGCGTGGTTGAATCTTCGCAGCCCGGCCGGGGCGCTGACCGCCAAGACCTTGCAGCAATCCGACCTCAAGATGGTCATCGACGACCACAAGTTGACCGCGTCCAATGGTGTTTGTAATAATAACCATTCTTTCAATTAAGAGAAAACTCCACTTGACTATATTCGAACGCCGGACCTTCATAAAACTCTGCCGCCCTAATCTAGATTGCTTGTCGCCGTTGGATCTAGGTCAGCATTTTGGTGTTCAGGTTTAGGGTTCTTCAGTGTTTTGCGAGGCGGCGACGATGGGCAAGGGCGAGCCGATCAGGTGCGATGCTTGCGATCTTTAGCTGCGGCTGTGTGGATTGATTTGGATCTTTCAGGCTTTACGTTCCGGCGACGATTCTGGGATACAAGCGGTGAGTGTTTTGGTTGTCGCGCATTCGCGGCTGGAATTCACGGTGCTTTCTCTGTTGCTAGATCCAAGTCGAACCAGTATCCCAACACCTCGCTCCTCCAGATCCAGGGAGTGAACACCAAGGAGGAAGTGGCGTGGTACCAAGGCAAGAGGCTCGCCTACATCTACAAGGCCAAGACCAAGAAGAATGGCTCGCTCTACCGATGCATGTGGGGACGTGTGACGAGGCCTCACGGGACCAGCGGCGTCGTGCGCGCCAAGTTCCGCAGGAATCTCCCTCCAAAGTCTCTGGTAAGTTTCTCGCGGGGATTTTTCTGCGTTTCTTTTGTGGAACTTGTTTCTTACATTGCAATCGTAGGGTGGAAGAGTCCGGGTTTTCATGTACCCCAGCCGGATCTAAGCTTGCTTTTGACTTATCCAACTAAGGATTGCTGTTTTTCCCAAACCCGGATAAGATAAGTTCGTTCGTTCCTAGATTCTTGTTGTGGTTTCTGGGATGTTTGTATTCTTTTGGAATCGCTGGAGAGGTCTCCAACCCCTCGGAAACACAAATTTCATGGTCTGGCAGGTCGGCAGCGCTTACAGAAAAAAATTTGCGCGTGAGTGCACCAATCCACTAAAAGCAAGCTTGGTGTGTCTATCTACTAAACAGTACCTCCCAGTCGCGAGCAATATATAAAGTGGTGAGTTCACAGGCTTTCTTGACTTGAGTCACTCACTGAAACGCTCGCTGCTCCTTTCTTTCAGGAGAGACGATGACACTGCTCGTAAGAACACTGGCTCTGCTCTTGATGCTGCTCTCGTTGCTGCTCGTCCAAGCGTTTGGGAACGA